GCAAATGACAGAGACCACCCTAAGGACCACTCTAGGACATGACAGATGAGGGATGGAAAGGGTGAGAATCTGCCCTGGGGATCAGATTGTAGACATCAGAGTGTGGAGAGTCACATGGAAGAGGAGGGATGAGAAGGTGCCTCTTCAATTTCCTCACAGCCCAGGTGCCTGCAGTATTCTGCAGTGCTGGGAAGTTAGTGCCAGGGAGGCAGAGCCCAATTCTTGAGTCTCCTCCCACCCGCAATTGGACAGGCTCCTCCCTCGCAGCTTCATCAGTGCAGACATTTGATCCACAGCAGTTAGCTAAGAGTGGAGGACAAAGGCCGTCTTTGACCCTTTATATAATTCCAGGCAGGCTGGAAGAGCCATTTGCATGTGGTGTGCCTCAGGTCTGATCCTAGGAAGCTGGATTGCGCTACCACTCAGCCCAGCAGAGGAGCCCTGCAGGCAGTGAGGCACCATGGGGCTGCTGACTGGGGAGGCCCTGACCACCTTGGCTGTGGCCTTGGCCATCTTCCTGCTCCTGGTGGATCTGATGCACCGGCGAGCTCGCTGGGCTGCCCGCTACCCTCCAGGCCCTGTGCCTCTTCCTGGACTGGGCAATCTGCTACAGCTGGATTTCCAGGACATGCCACACAGCATAAACCAGGTGAGGCAGGTGGGGTGGGGCACCAGTGACCTGAACACCCCTCAGCACCTGACAGTGGGTGTTGGGGAAACCCACATGAAGGAGAAGAAGCTGGTCCAGAAGACAAGCAGGCTAGGGAGGCTTCCTAAGGAAATGAATTAGAGTGGCGCCCAATGGTTTGTTTAGATGTTTTTGAAAAATAGGAGGTGGATTGCAGAGGGTTGAAGACCAGGCTGGAACTCTGTTGCAGGATTTCCTCCAAAACATGACACAAATTATGCAAAACCCAAGTCTGATGAATTCAGGAAAAAAGGCCTTGGTAATGAGGGGGGTGAGGGATGGGTAGTGACAGCTCTGAAAACAGGAGCGAGGGGGGCAATGACTCCGACCCAATCTCTTCCTGTACTTTAGGCCTTCTATTCACCTTTTTCTGATCTGTAAAACGCTTCGTGGGGTTAACGGATCATTTGGCTGACCTGCAAAATCATAGCTGGGCAGTGAGTGGGATTCAAGTGAGGTCCTCGATCTGGAGACTATATGATCCCGGGGTCACCAAGCGACATTTCGTCCTTGACCCGCAGCTAGTAGCAAGATGGTTCCACCAAGTTTGCACTCTGAGAACCGTCCCACCACGGTGCAGGCACGCGTCTTGACAGCCCCCTGCCCTCCATCTGCAGCTGCGGCGCCGCTTCGGGGACGTGTTCAGCCTACAGCTGGCCTGGACTCCAGTGGTCGTGCTCAGTGGGCTGGAGGCTGTGCGCGAGGCGCTGGTGCTTCGCGGTGAGGACACGTCCGACCGACCGCACATGGCCATCACTGAGCACCTAGGATTCGGGCCTCGAGCCCAAGGCAAGTCACGCCACCTGGACAGGGCGGGGCGAGCCCCAGGGCACGAAGTGCCTACAGTGTAGGCAGGTGGACAGGCAGGTGGACGGGCTGAAGACAATCCCAACCACAGGTGTGGACAAGCAATTGCAGGCTAGGTGCCAGACAAAGGTGCGACATGGCGGGAAGAATCCTTGGCTGGTGTCTGGGCGGGGCTTTTTCAGTGCTGGGCTGTAGCGGGTGGGGGCAGAGCCTGCCCGGGGCGGAGCCTGCCCTGGGCTGAATGCGGGAAGGGCGGGGCTTGTAGCAGGCTAGCATTAGGGGGCGGAGCCTGCCCTGGGCTGAATGCGGGAAGGGCTGGGCTTGTAGCAGGCTAGCATTAGGGGGCGGAGCCTGCCCTGGGCTGGGGGCGGGAAGGGCGGGGCTTGTACCAGGCTAGCCTGAGGGGCCAAAGCCCATTCTGGATGTTTTCTTGGTGGAACTGTACCCACGGTCCCGCGCCCCCCAGGTCTGATCATGGCGCGCTATGGCCACGCGTGGCGCGAGCAGCGGCGCTTCTCCGTGTCCACACTGCGCAACTTCGGTCTGGGCAAGAAATCTCTGGAGGAGTGGGTTACACAGGAGGCTGCCTGCCTCTGCGATGCTTTCGAAGCCCAGGACGGTGAGAACTGGGGCCGAGGGGCGCGGGGCAGGGCCGGGCCGAGGGGCGCCTGTGACACGGAACCCTCCTACCAGGACGCCCCTTTAACCCTAACAACCTCATGAACAAAGCGGTGAGCAACGTCATCGCCTCCTTCACCCACGGGCGCCGCTTCGAGTACGACCACCCGAAGTTTCTCAAACTCGTGGAGCTGATGGAGAACGCACTGAAGGAAGACTCGAGCTTTCTTCGCGAGGTTCA